CCCCAAAACCCCAAAACCCCAAAACCCCAAAACCCCAAAACCCCAGCATTGGTATAAAATATTGAAATACAATCAACATTTAACCATACAATTACTCAGTGCCATTACGCCTCTTTTCAATCTGGTATCTATGACTCTGCTATTGTCTTTCAAAAAGACCAATCTGGAATATTATTTAAAACCCTTTGGTTCGAGAAGCTGAGGTCAACCTCAAAGTCTTCATAGTCTCCAAAAACCTCATTTGGAGGATAATCAATACTCTTAATTTTAGGATTCTTTACCGTAAGAACTTCATATTCTTTGTTATATACTTTATTTCCAGTCGATATTCTTGAAGAACTTGTGCTTCTTAATTTCGTTAATTCCTTTCCTCTTTCATCCAAGTCTCTTCCCAGGCTGTTTCTCAAGGAGCCCTTTTAGAAAATCTTTTCAATTTTTTGTGCAAAATTGGGGAATCTTCACTGGAGAATTCACAATATCATCATGCATTTTGTTTGAGTCTTCAGAATACAATGGGGGCTCACCAATCAAGAGCTCGTAGAGGCAGACTCCTAGTAAATACCAGTCAACTGACCTAGAATGTCCTTCTCCTCTTAAAATCTCTGGTGCCATATATGCTACACTTCCACAGAAAGAACCTGTAATTTGTCCCTCTTTGAGACTTTCCTTTGAGAGACCAAAATCAGTCAATTTTCAATGACCATCTGAAGATATCAACACATTAGCTGGTTTTAAATCTCTAAAAGTTATAAATTCTTTACCTGTAAGCAATATTATGCTTGTGTAATTCCTCTACAGCAAGAATTATTTCAGCTATATAGATCTTAGCTAACTCTTCTTTAAGAGTTCCTTCATTAGCTATCCTCACAGCCAAATCTCCTCCTCAACAGTACTCCATAAGTAAGAAGAACTTTTCTGGAGTTTGGAAAGAGTGCTTCAAATTTACAATGAAAGGATGATCAATTTTTAACATAATGTTCTTCTCTGTTTTCATATAAGGAGTCAATCCGTTCTTAGCTAAAAGCTCTTTGTCAACACATTTCATTGCCATCATTTCACCATTATTCTTATTCTTAACAAGCCATACTTGTCCAAAAGCACCAGCTCCCAAAGGCTTCATAATTTCAAATGAATTTGGAACGAGCTTCCCTTCCTTCATAATCTCTACTGGCTCTATACATAAAACAAGGGTCGTTACCAAGACTAATCTCGTTTGATACTGTGCCTGAACTGTTGCTGGGATCGACGAACCTCTCTGTATAACCGGAGTCATTATTAAGAGCCTTGACTTCCTCATCAGCCTCTTGTATCTCATTGAGCTTGCTCTTTTTGAGGGGTTTGCATTCAGCTACTATTTCCGTCTCTGGTTGTTTATCTTTCCCAGTCATTTCTAGCATAATTTTCCTTCTATATTGGCTGCTTTCTCTCATGTTGTCCTTACGGGAGCTCTCTCTTGTCAGAGGCTTTAAAAGTCCCCTAATTCTTTCATCCTTTGTATATTGGTAAGGATATTTACCAACTTTATCCTTGATGCTGGGGTTTGCTCCTATATTAGGAGTTATTTTTGTTGGCTTACCTTTGTCGAGAAGGAGTTTGATAGTCTCTATGATTTTCTCAAAATCTTCATCCTCGTCAGCAAAATCTGCCCTGAACTTGCTAGCATAGTGCAGAGGAGTCTTTATCAACTTGTTCTTAGCATTTACGTTTGCATTCATTTCTATCAAAAGTCTAATGATGTCATGGGCATTAGAAAGTCATGCAAAATGTAGAGGGGTTTGCTTGTCTTCATAGACACAGTTGACCTGAGGTCTTCAATGCTTTAGCCCAAGAACTTTACGAACACCTATGCATTACAAAAAGAACTTACCTTTGATATCCTTCTTGGTGATATAATCTTTCAATTTATTCTCATTTTCCTCTTTCTGTCTCCACCACTGATCCCATATTCCCTCAGTCCCTTCCACTGTGCGTTCAGTATGAATGGAGACATTCTGGTTCGACTCTTCACGAAAGGCGTCTAGGAAATGATACTTGCTACTACTCCTCGAACTCTCATACAGATTACTATTGGACTTGTTCATGTTGGTGATCGTTGGCCTCTTTCTGGAAACCTTCTTCATGATTCTTCTTCGTATTTTTAACTTTTTCTCATTCATAACTAAGGATATCAGGAATGAAAGTTACTTGTTTTCCATGTAGCATACTCTTCGTTTAAGCTGAGGAAAGATTCTATAAGGAGTTATTCCTGATTAATTTTTACTAAAATGTAATGCAATTTAGAGATCTCGAAGACATTTATATCAGACAAGACCAGGAAAGATAAAGTAACTCATCGGTTTAAAGTAAGTAATTTCAAATGCATGGATCATGGCCCCTCAAGAATATAAACTTTAAAATCTTCTAATTGAGCTATACCTGAATTTCTCGAAAGATTGTCTCCTTCCTGCCCTCCTATATGAGAAGGGTCAATGTCACTGCGCTTTATTCTGGCAGTTTGAGGTCTTTCTTGATTCTGATAATCTTTCCCTAAAAATAAGAAATCAAAATGGTAAAAATTAGATAAGAATCTGTAGTATACCTCCAAAATGGCTTTCCTCATACCAAAAATGACTAAAAACTGATCAAATCTCGTATCTTTACCCTAAAAATACCCCACCTGCATTCAAATCCTAAATCTAATCTCCTCTAACACCTAAAACTCACCCCCAAAGCTCTCATTCCCACCCTCTACAACTCCTCAACCCCCTATTCCCTCCCAAAACCCTAAAATTTCTTCACAAAAAGTCCAAAACAGTTAAAAACCAGCAAGCCCCAAACTGACTGTAACTAAAAGGCTGTTTTTTAGGAGTATTCGGATCCTTTTCCATTTATATTATTCAATTTTATTAATGGGCTTAGGGGTTTTGGGGTTTTGGGGTTTTGGGGTTTTGGGGTTTTGGGG